CAAAAACCAAGCAGCAAGTTAAAACCATTGGCACTTTTTCCATACAACATTATTCCGACACACCGTTGCTTGTCGGACTTTACATCAATTGATGGCCGCTGCGGTTGCAGCAGCTTGGTCAACATGTCGAGGTCTGGGAATTCCTGGCCGGGCTCCTTCTTGGGTAGATGCACCACAATCGTTCCATTCTCCTGCACCACAACACTACGGTTAGCAACCTACTGCATCGCAATTACATCAGCAATTATCAGAGCGTTATACCTTATTGGGGTCGTACACTGCCTTTGCCAGCTCGTCGTCCACCACCTCGTGTGGGAAGTGCAACTTGAGCAGGTACGGCTTACAGAAGAAAGTGAAGTCTACGTTGTCCACATAGAACTCCATATCCGATACGCGCACAAACGGCACATGCACATGCACAAACACCCACGCGGCGTCCTGCGTCACATGAAACCTGGGCGTCGCCACCATCGCTCTACCCGCGTCAATTTAAATTCAAAGATGGCTACAGCTCGCTACGCCAGTCACACTCACATTTGTGTTGGAAACGTAAATTTATAGTACTGTGTTTACATCACTCAGTACGATGAATGTATTCGCTTAGGTACGACACTTTGGATCGCAACTGGGGAGAAACAGAGGAGAATCTCGACGGCTTTACCGTAGTTCGTTTCAGTTGATTATGACGGCGGACGTAGCAATGACGTCGGCAGATGACAGCGCTGGTCTCACCAGCTACTACGAGCAGAAGATCGAGCACCTGGAGCTGACGGTGCGTGACGAGACGCAAAACCTGCGGCGTCTTCAGGCGCAGCGCAACGAGCTCAACTCGAAAGGTGAACTAGATACCTTTTTCGCCAATTATTGATAAAATTAAGGGTTCTTACCACTGTTGCTTCGATGAAGTCCGCTTGCTGCGTGAGGAGCTGCAACTGCTGCAGGAACCGGGCTCGTATGTGGGCGAAGTAGTGAAGCAAATGGGCAAGTCCAAGGTGCTCGTCAAGGTGAACCCAGAGGGCAAGTACGTCGTGGATGTGGACAAGACCATCGACATTGCCAAGTGCACACCCAACACGCGCGTGGCGCTACGCAATGACAGCTACGTGCTGCACAAGATCCTGCCCACGAAGGTGCGCATCAAGCAAAGTGCTTGGATCCCGAATTATTAATTATGTGAAACCGAGGATCTCTAACTTTATATGCATAGGTGGATCCGCTGGTGAGCCTGATGAAGGTGGAGAAGGTTCCCGACTCAACGTACGATATGATCGGCGGTCTGGACAAGCAGATCCGCGAGATTAAGGAGGTTATCGAGCTGCCTATCAAGCACCCGGAGCTTTTCGACGCTCTGGGTGTGGCCCAGCCCAAGGGTGTGTTGCTGTACGGACCTCCTGGTACAGGCAAGACGCTGCTGGCTCGTGCTGTGGCTCACCACACGGACTGTACTTTCATCCGTGTGTCGGGTGCAGAGCTGGTGCAGAAGTACATCGGCGAAGGCTCGCGTATGGTGCGCGAACTCTTCGTCATGGCCCGCGAGGCTTCCCCGTCCATTATCTTTATGGACGAAATCGATTCCATTGGTAGTTCCCGTATGGAAGGCGGCGGTGGCGACTCGGAAGTGCAGCGCACGATGCTGGAGCTGCTGAACCAGCTGGACGGCTTCGAGCCTGCGCAGAATATCAAGGTCATTATGGCTACGAACCGTATCGATATCCTGGATGCCGCTCTACTGCGTCCCGGGCGTATTGACAGGAAGATCGAGTTCCCGAACCCGACGGAAGGGGTGCGTTTTATTTGCTTTTACGCTGTTAAAAGCGGACGAGTTAGTAATGATTTGTTGTGCATTTAGTCGCGTATTGATATCATGCGCATTCACTCGAGGAAGATGAACTTGCTGCGGGGCATTAACCTCAAGGTTATCGCCGAGAAGATGCCGACCTCTTCAGGTGCCGAGTGTAAGGCTGTGTGCACAGAAGCGGGTATGTTTGCGCTGCGTGAGCGTCGGATCCACGTGACGCAGGAAGACTTTGAGATGGCCGTGTCCAAGGTCATGAAGAAGGACTCGGAGCAGAACATGTCGATCAACAAGCTCTGGAAGTAAGCAAGCTAGCGGAGCGGTACTTTCCGAGAGGATAGGGTGTTCCCGATAGCAGAAATCGAATGAGCTTTGATTGACAAGATTTTGAGTTTATTTTGTACTTTACTTGGTGGCTTTGGGTGGCTCCCAGTTGTAATTGTCGAAGAGTTGGTAGTCCATCGGGATCTTGTCCGGGAACTTGACCATACTCTCAATGCCACGAAGTGCCATGGACGTGAACTCGGAGTCGAAGTTGGCGAATTGACCCGAGCGAGGACGAAGTGGAGGCGTCCGTAGACTTCGATTCAGTAGTTTAGTCCAGTCGATGTGGTGCTTAGTGAAGAACGGATGAAGTTTGACTGCAGTCGCGCCACCACCGGACGCTCGACGTGCTCCAAGACGCTCCCTCGGGTCTGTGCGTAGCAGACATTGCATCAAGTCACGAGCTTCGTCACTGATGGTTGGTGGGAAGTATACTGCGCCATCCATTATCATCGAGTAGAGCTGCGTCCTACTTGCGGCGTTGTAGAACGGAGGTTGTCCGGTCAACATCTCGTAGAGCATACAGCCAAGCGCCCAGGAAATCGACCGTCTTGCCGTAGCCTCGACTGGATGAAAGATGACGTCGACGATGATCGTTCACAGAGCGCAATTACTTCAGGAGCGATGTAGGTCTTTCGACCCACAGAACGTCATGGCCAGAGTCCAGTCGTCGATTCCTGGTTTCGACAGTCCAAAGTCGGCAAGACGCACGTGTCCTTGTTGATCTAGTAGAATGTTCTCGGGTTTGAGATCGCGGTAGATGATGTCGTGGTGGTGCAAGTGCTCGAGTGCAAGGAGAACTTC